TACTGCAGTACAAATTCAAACTCTGCAGTGGAGCCAAAGCAATTATCCAGTCAGAAAACAACACCAGCAGCGAAACAAAGCAATAGACTCCGGGTGAGATTCTCCTGTACCAGCGAGTGTGATCAAATTTTAGCTAGCAAAGTCAGTCGGGAGCAGAAATCAGCAAAATCTAAGGAGGATGTCGGGGTGAAAAAGATGGAGGCCTGGCATCTGCCTCAAATTCATCCCAACCCTAACAAAGGTAACATTAGTTACTCAGAAAATAGCAAAGTTTTTTCTAGAAGTGGTGAAGATAGGATTAGAGCCCAGACAACACAGGAGAGGGGTTTGGATCTCTCTCAAGCACATCAGGTTACTGCAATCCCAGACCAATTCTGAAAGAAAATATCTCGAGTCGAAAGTGAAGAAAAGTTAGAGGAACTCTTTTCTAAACAGGAATCATATGTGCCTCAGCGGCAAAATAACTGGCTGCGAACAATCAGACTTCTGGAGCACAATCTGGAAAGGCAAGAGTTGGTAGCCCAGCTTGAAGAGATGCAGAAACAGATTCAAGAAACACCTGAGGAAGTGGATAAGCTGCAGAAGGAACAGGTCAAACCACAGCAAGGGCAACAGCTGGGGTGGCAGCTGAGCCAGAAGAAGCGGCAGAAAACAAAACTGCCGATCTGTATCTGCCCACAATGTAAAAACAAAGACTTCATTCATTCACATGCCATATTCGGAGAGTAAAGAAAATATTGCATGCCGAAATGTGCGAAAGAGGGAGCGAAAATCTGTGTCAAAATTAACGGTTTATCCTGCAAATATCTTGGTGTACGACTCAGAGAGTGGAGCACTTTCTGCCAAGTTGCACCTGAAACGAAACAATCCTGAGAAACTGTTCAGGAAGTATCCCAGAAGCCTAAGTCAAGGGTCACAACCCTAGGGGAAAAGTCTGGCTACCCAGAACTTGCTGTCAAAATAGACTGCAGGAAGTCAGGATCTAACAATGATCAGTATGAATATTGTATCCACAATAAACTAGACAACCGGTCAGAAAAACAAACCCTTGGGTGAAGGTTAATACATAATTATAGTTTAAAATATGTGAACAGAAAATTAAAAAAGAATGCAAACAAAATTTTAGTAGTTGCAAGCTGAACATTTGCAGTTTTTTTTTTCAAAAGAAGTATACTGTGTCCGAATGTTGGACGCAATTTTGATGTTGTTTCAAAGCCCCACCCTGGCTGTTACTGTGGGCCGTAATAAACTCCACCTAATGAGTTCAACCTATCCTTAACCTCTGGAACCTGTCCCCGGTGAACCTCATCTGAGTGGTGGCATTTTGTATTACTGTGTATTTATCGTTCGGTGTGATGTCATGGCAGGGTTAAACATCAGTCAGCCAGTTTCTTCAAATATAAACAATGGAACGAACTGACAAAAGTCTTCATCCTGTCGGTTTTGAGGGCAAAAATTAACAGACCTGCTGTCCCCTTAACAAAGTTAGTTGTGTATCCTTTACAGGATGTTACAGAACTGACCCCAGTATTTTTTAGCTGTGGTGGTTTTTCTAGGCAAGTTTACACCCAGCAGTTTGCCACAGCTTTCTGGATGGTCAGTTTCTCGATACCAGTGCCGAAACCAATGAAATGCGTGCAGCTGGGATAGAACCCAGCCCCCCTGCATTACAAAATGTGTTCGCAATGCCTAAGCCACAGATGCCGACCTCCTGACAAGCAAATAATCGGGTTTCGCTAACATCAGATATGTTGGACCAAGGGGTGCAGATATCACAACCTAGCTGTGAACTACAACACAGTGTGCTAACCGACCTTTAACGGTGAGCACAGAAGTGGAAAATAAAATTTCTAGACCTTAAAAAATACAAAAAGTACAGAAACATGTTTCTAATCGGGTCTCATTCTTCTGCAGACATGTGCACTCAACAGCTACAGAACGAGTTCTTAGTTAAATGAAAGATTATCCTCACTGTCCATAAGCGCTCAGATCCTATCTTCAGCAAACCTCTCAGCATTTGGCAATTGATGACAGAAATTCTGGGTTGGTCTATTATTATCTTTTGGCGATTCGTATAGAGTTAATGTCTGGTGACACCTCTTTTGACCTGGAGTTTTTGTAGTCTTTTGAATGTTGCTGACTCACGTCGTCTCCTGAATCATCTTGTCTTGCCTCCTTGACACCATTAAGAATGTTGGCCCGGGTCGTTGCTTTTCCTGTCCATGATGTGGCCCTGCCAGCAAGCCAATCCGCTTGTTCATTCCCTCTTTCCCCAGAGTGCCCTAGCACAGAATAAAACTCATTTCATTCAGACAGGATTTCCTTAGTCACTGCAATCACTTCCTTTGAATCCATCCTGCCTCGATCTTTTCAAGTATGCTAGTGAAATGAAATAACTAATGAAGAACACACAAGAAAAATTATGTCTCTAGCCACATTATTGCTTTTAAGAGAACATGTTCTGTTCTCACTCAACAACTAAACATATTCTGTTCTCATTCAACAACTAAAGAACATGTTCTGTTTTCATTCAACAACTAAAGAACATGTTCTGTTTTCACTCAACAACTAAAGAACATGTTGCTCTCACTTAACCACTAAACATATTCTGTTCTCATTCAACAACTAAAGAACATGTTCTGTTTTCACTCAACAACTAAAGAATATGTTGTTCTCACTCAACAACTAAAAATATTCTGTTGTCACTCAACAACTAAAGAATATGTTGTTCTCACTGAACAGCTAAACATATTCTGTTCTCACTCAACAACTAAATATATTCTGTTCTCACTCAACAACGAAACATATTCTGTTCTCATTCAACAACTAAAGAACATGTTCTGTTTTCACTCAACAACTAAAGAATATGTTGTTCTCACTCAACAACTAAACATATTCTGTTCTCACTCAACAACTAAATATATTCTGTTCTCACTCAACAGCTAAACATATTCTGTTCTCACTCAACAACTAAAGAATATGTTGTTCTCACTTAACAGCTAAACATATTCTGTTCTCACTCAACAACTAAACATATTCGGTTCTCACGCAACAACTAAACATATTCTGTTCTCACTCAACAACTAAACATATTCTGTTCTCACTCAACAACGAAACATATTCTGTTCTCACTCAACAACTAAAGAATATGTTGTTCTCACTCAACAACTAAAGAATATGTTGTTCTCACTCAACAGCTAAACATATTCTGTTCTCATTCAACAACTAAAGAACATATTGTTCTCACTCAACCACTAAACATATTCTGTTCTCATTCAACAACTAAAGAACATGTTCTGTTTTCACTCAACAACTGAAGAATATGTTGTTCTCACTCAACAACTAAACATATTCTGTTCTCACTCAACAATGAAACATATTCTGTTCTCACTCAACAACTAAAGAATATGTTGTTCTCACTCAACAACTAAACATATTCTGTTCTCACTCAACAATGAAACATATTCTGTTCTCACTCAACAACTAAAGAATATGTTGTTCTCACTCAACAGCTAAACATATTCTGTTCTCACTCAACAACTAAAGAATATTCTGTTCTCACTCAACAGCTAAAGAACATGTTCTGTTCCTACTTGGTTAAATACATGAATGTTTTGGTTGAATTTGCTGGGTAGCTTCCCTAGTCTAAAAATGCACATCAGTATCCAAGAACTGTTTTGTTACGTTATCACAGTCGATGTCACTGTACATTGGGCATTCCCATGAGTGCTCAGTCCTCTGTTGCAGCACCCACTTCTTCTTCTTCTTCAGCGATCTCTGTTCATGCGCATAATCCACTGTGGGTCATAAACTGGGATGTCTTTTCAAGGTCTCTTAGGTTTCCCCAAAGCTTAGTTGTCAGTTCTACTGGGTGTTGCCATATGTCGCTCCGCAGCTCCGCCAGGAGAGGACAGTCTTGCAGTACATGTTCTGGAGTCTGTTCAGCACGAAGGCACCGGCAGAGAGCTGTTTGGCTCATACCTAATTTATGTGAGTGTTTATTGAGTCTGCAGTGTCCAGTGCGTAAGCGAAAAACTGTGACTTGGTCTGTTCTGTTCAAGTGTTTCAGAAAATCTTTTCCGTAGTTATAACCAGTGTTGGTTTTCCAATCTGTTTCTGATTTTCTCTTAATGAGAGTTTTGACTTCTGGAAAAGATAGTGGCTGGTAGGTCTGTGGTTTGTTACTGCCTTCCTTGGCTAAAGCATCTGCGCTTTCATTGCCTTGGATGCCACAGTGAGACGGAATCCACTGCAAGTGAATTTCTGCCTTATTTGACAACATAGCAAGTTCATGTGTTAGACTTTGTAGTGTGCTGTCGGTAGGTTTGGACTCAAGGGCCTGTATAGCTGACAGTGAGTCGGTGAGAAAAACTATCCTGCCTGCGGTGATTTGCAGATTGTACATATACTGTGCTGCCATCAATAGGGCTGAGAGTTCTGCCTTGTAGTTAGAGCAAGTTCGTCCGGTGGGGGCTGCTAGGGACACAGTAGTGGCATCAGGGTGTTTTATGTAAACACCTGCCCCACCATTCGTAGTTGCCTCTTTTGCTGATCCATCCGTGTAGATTCTCGTCCAGTACCCACTTCAAGGTACCTTCACTAATTGTCCCCATGAGAAGATGGTTACAATGTGTCTCCTGTCTTGACTTGAGTGATTTTTAAGGGACTTGAGGAGACACCTTGATGATCCTAGGAGTTTCAGGGCACTATTCTACACATCCACAAGATGTTGTCTGAACATGTCAGCCAGTCGCAAACCTGTTTCACACCTCTTGCAGTTGATGGCATAAATTTTCAATATCACCTAGGTGGACATAGAAATAACTCCACACATGCACGTATGTACACACACACACATTTTTTGCAAGTAACAAAAGACATTGTTTTCACTCAAAAATCACATTTAGTTGTTTTAACATAGCTTTTAAAGAAACATTACCCATTCCTTTTCTATAGTTTTATTAAACCCACTCCTTGGAAAAACTTCCATATTCGGCCAATCAAACAAAGCCGCTGTAACGGTGATATTTTTCATAGTCCTGATGCAAGACCTTGAAGTTGTCCTTGACACCTGCAGGCAGCGAAGCGTTGAGAGCGGCCAGCCGGAACTTGTCACAGATGCTCATCACCTTGTAGAGGCCACGCACCAGTTCTTTCTGTGAATGGAGAATTTATACCATTTTTGCTGACACAAAAGAATGCCTGATGCTTAGACAGTTTAGAAATACCAATTAACGAACAATTAAACTTTCATTTCCAAAGGTATTGAGCACACAGGCCTGTTTAACAAGTCTTGTGCATAGCCTTTGATTTCCAGTTGGTGTGGTCTCGACATTTACCAGAACTTGAAGAAAGGGTCTCACCTGGTAATATTTTCAGTTTGCGAAGGTACCCTTTCCCCTCCCCTATCCCGTAAGACAGCACATTTTTCCCCAGTTGGTGACTGCACATGTTTCTAGATCCGACTGTATATTATCTTTCCACCATCTTCTTGGTCTGCCTTGTGGTCTACCTCCCCCCCCCCCCCCAACTACCATGTGCACAGTTTTTGTCTCTCTTGATCTTTCATTCCCTCTGTATGTCCCAATCGTTGCAGTCTGTCAGTCATGATGCCAGTAATGAGTGCTGATTTTAAAAGATTATGGCTTTCATTGCTGCTTCTTCAATGAGTCCAAAAGCTACAACAGAAGTCTTACAAAGACTAGATACACAGTATTCAACAGGTGCAGAACCTGACTTTCCCATGTATACGGCAGGATGATTAATTAAATGTTTTTAAATGTTTAAACTAAGGGGCCATCGTAAACACGGAATGTGATTAAACTATTTTGTCTCAATTTTTGGGCACAAAAATACAGTTTGTCTTATTTACACAAGGAAAATTACGGTAAACACCTCAACCCTTCACACCAATATGGCACACTCTATCAACATAGATGAAACACACCAACATGGCACACTCTATCAACATAGATGAAACACCTCAACCCTTCACACCAATATGGCACACTCTATCAACATAAATGAAACACACCAACATGGCACACTCTATCAACATAGATGAAACACACCAACATAGCACACTCTATCAACATAGATGAAACACACCAACATGGCACTCTATCAACATAGATGAAACACACTAACATGGCACACTCTATCAACATAAATGAAACACACCAAATGGCACACTCTATCAACATAGATGAAACACACCAACATGGCAGACTCTATCAACATAGATGAAACACCTCAACCCTTCACACCAACATGGCACACTATCAACATAGATGAAACACCTCAACCCTTCACACCAACATGGCAGACACTATCAACATAGATGAAACACCTCAACCCTTCACACCAACATGGCACACTATCAACATAGATGAAACACCTCAACCCTTCACACCAACATGGCAGACTCTATCAACATAGATGAAACACCTCAACCCTTCACACCAACATGGCACACTATCAACATAGATGAAACACCTCAACCCTTCACACCAACATGGCAGACACTATCAACATAGATGAAACATCTCAACCCTTCACACCAACATGTCACACTATCAACATAGATGAAACACACCAACATGGCAGACTCTATCAACATAGATGAAACACCTCAACCCTTCACACCAACATGGCACACTATCAACATAGATGAAACACCTCAACCCTTCACACCAACATGGCAGACACTATCAACATAGATGAAACACCTCAACCCTTCACACCAACATGGCAGACTCTATCAACATAGATGAAACACCTCAACCCTTCACACCAACATGGCACACTATCAACATAGATGAAACACACCAACATGGCAGACTCTATCAACATAGATGAAACACCTCAACCCATAGATGACACCAACCCTTCACACCAACATGGCACACTATCAACATAGATGAAACACCTCAACCCTTCACACCAACATGGCACACTATCAACATAGATGAAACACCTCAACCCTTCACACCAACATGGCACACTATCAACATAGATGAAACACCTCAACCCTTCACACCAACATGGCAGACACTATCAACATAGATGAAACACCTCAACCCTTCACACCAACATGGCAGACACTATCAACATAGATGAAACACCTCAACCCTTCACACCAACATGGCACACTATCAACATAGATGAAACACCTCAACCCTTCACACCAACATGGCAGACACTATCAACATAGATGAAACACACCAACATGGCAGACTCTATCAACATAGATAGATGAAACACCTCAACCTTTCACACCAACATGGCAGACACTATCAACATAGATGAAACACCTCAACCCCTCACACCAACATGGCAGACACTATCAACATAGATGAAACACCTCAACCCTTCACACCAACATGGCAGACACTATCAACATAGATGAAACACCTCAACCCTTCACACCAACATGGCAGACTCTATCAACATAGATGAAACACCTCAACCCTTCACACCAACATGGCAGACACTATCAACATAGATGAAACACACCAACATGGCAGACACTATCAACATAGATGAAACACACCAATATGGCAGACTCTATCAACATAGATGAAACACACCAATATGGCAATCAAAACATAGATCACACCAACATGGCACTCTATCAACATAGATGAAACACACCAACATGGCACTCTATCAACATAGATGAAACACACCAACATGGCAGACACTATCAACATAGATGAAACACACCAACATGGCAGACTCTATCAACATAGATGAAACACACCAACATGGCAGACTCTATCAACATAGATGAAACACACCAACATGGCAGACACTATCAACATAGATGAAACACACCAACATGGCAGACTCTATCAAGATAGACGAAACACCTCAACCTTTCACACCAACATGGCACTCTATCAACATAGATGAAACACACCAACATGGCACTCTATCAACATAGATGAAACACACCAACATGGCACTCTATCAACATAGATGAAACACACCAACATGGCACTCTATCAACATAAGATGAAACACACCAACATGGCACTCTATCAACATAGATGAAACACACCAACATGGCACTCTATCAACATAGATGAAACACACCAACATGGCACTCTATCAACATAGATGAAACACACCAACATGGCACTCTATCAACATAGATGAAACACACCAACATGGCACTCTATCAACATAGATGAAACACACCAACATGGCACTCTATCAACATAGATGAAACACACCAACATGGCACTCTATCAACATAGATGAAACACACCAACATGGCACTCTATCAACATAGATGAAACACCTCAAACTTTCACACCAACATGGCACTCTATCAACATAGATGAAACACACCAACATGGCACTCTATCAACATAGATGAAACACACCAACATGGCACTCTATCAACATAGATGAAACACACCAACATGGCACTCTATTAACATAGATGAAACACACCAACATGGCACTCTATCAACATAGATGAAACACACCAACATGGCACTCTATCAACATAGATGAAACACACCAACATGGCACTCTATCAACATAGATGAAACACACCAACATGGCACTCTATCAACATAGATGAAACACACCAACATGGCACTCTATCAATATAGATGAAACACACCAACATGGCAGACTCTATCAACATAGATGAAACACCTCAAACTTTCACACCAACATGGCACTCTATCAACATAGATGAAACACACCAACATGGCAGACTCTATCAACATAGATGAAACACCTCAACCTTTCACACCAACATGGCACTCTATCAACATAGATGAAACACACCAACATGGCACTCTATCAACATAGATGAAACACACCAACATGGCAGACACTATCAACATAGATGAAACACACCAACATGGCAGACTCTATCAACGTAGATGAAACACACCAACATGGCAGACTCTATCAACATAGATGAAACACACCAACATGGCAGACACTATCAACATAGATGAAACACACCAACATGGCAGACTCTATCAACATAGATGAAACACCTCAACCTTTCACACCAACATGGCACTCTATCAACATAGATGAAACACACCAACATGGCACTCTATCAACATAGATGAAACACACCAACATGGCACTCTATCAACATAGATGAAACACACCAACATGGCACTCTATCAACATAGATGAAACACACCAACATGGCACTCTATCAACATAGATGAAACACACAAACATGGCACTCTATCAACATAGATGAAACACACCAACATGGCACTCTATCAACATAGATGAAACACACCAACATGGCACTCTATCAACATAGATGAAACACACCAACATGGCACTCTATCAACATAGATGAAACACACCAACATGGCAGACTCTATCAACATAGATGAAACACACCAACATGGCAGACTCTATCAACATAGATGAAACACCTCAACCCTTCACACCAACATGGCAGACACTATCAACATAGATGAAACACCTCAACCCTTCACACCAACATGGCAGACTCTATCAACATAGATGAAACACCTCAACCCTTCACACCAACATGGCAGACACTATCAACATAGATGAAACACACCAACATGGCAGACACTATCAACATAGATGAAACACACCAACATGGCACTCTATCAACATAGATGAAACACACCAACATGGCACTCTATCAACATAGATGAAACACACCAACATGGCACTCTATCAACATAGATGAAACACACCAACATGGCAGACTCTATCAACATAGATGAAACACACCAACATGGCAGACTCTATCAACATAGATGAAACACCTCAACCCTTCACACCAACATGGCAGACACTATCAACATAGATGAAACACACCAACATGGCAGACTCTATCAATATAGATGAAACACCTCAACCCTTCACACCAACATGGCAGACACTATCAACATAGATGAAACACCTCAACCCTTCACACCAACATGGCAGACACTATCAACATAGATGAAACACACCAACATGGCAGACTCTATCAACATAGATAGATGAAACACCTCAACCTTTCACACCAACATGGCAGACACTATCAACATAGATGAAACACCTCAACCCTTCACACCAACATGGCAGACACTATCAACATAGATGAAACACCTCAACCCTTCACACCAACATGGCAGACACTATCAACATAGATGAAACACCTCAACCCTTCACACCAACATGGCAGACTCTATCAACATAGATGAAACACCTCAACCCTTCACACCAACATGGCAGACACTATCAACATAGATGAAACACACCAACATGGCAGACACTATCAACATAGATGAAACACACCAACATGGCAGACTCTATCAACATAGATGAAACACCTCAACCCTTCACACCAACATGGCACTCTATCAACATAGATGAAACACACCAACATGGCAGACTCTATCAACATAGATGAAACACCTCAACCCTTCACACCAACATGGCACTCTATCAACATAGATGAAACACACCAACATGGCAGACTCTATCAATATAGATGAAACACCTCAACCCTTCACACCAACATGGCAGACTCTATCAATATAGATGAAACACCTCAACCCTTCACACCAATATGGCAGACTATCAACATCGATAAAACACCTCAACCCTTCACACCAACATGGCACACTAGGACAAGGGGCAACACTCCTAATCTAACTGCCAGCAAACCCTCACCTTCACGGCCATGTGTAGAGAGCCCCGCTGGACACCGAGGACGTACTCAGCCAGGATGCTGTGGGCCACCTTACTGAGGTCAGTTTTGTAAGCAGGAGATGAGAGAAGAGTCAGCAACCTGCCACAGAGGATTCACAGAGTCAAAGACATTTTTATTTTAAACAGAAAAATATGCAATATTCTGGCAGCTTTGGGTCGTATGTTTCTGCAAATATGTGTGAGTATGTGCGTGCATACGTGTATAGTTGTTTTCTTGCCCAACTGGGTGATGTTGAAGGTACTACACAGAGTCTAGTCATTTCCATGCTCACATAAGTGACGTACAAATCAAGTACTTTCCCATTTGCTCTTTCCTCATTCACATAAGTGACATAAAAGTCAAGTACTTTCCTGTCTGCTCTGTCCTCCTCTGTATGGGTCAGGAAGAAATCAAGTACTTTCCTGTCTGCTCTGTATGAGTCAGGAAGAAGTCAAGTACTCTCCTGTCTGCTCTGTCCTCCTCTGTATGAGTCAGAAAGAAGTCAAGTACTTTCCTGTCTGCTCTGTCCTCCTCTGTATGAGTCAGGAAGCAGTCAAGTACTTTCCTGTCTGCTCTGTCCTCCTCTGTATGAGTCAGGAAGCAGTCAAAAGTACTTTCTTGTCTGCTCTATCCTCCTCTGTATGAGTCAGGAAGCAGTCAAGTACTTTCCCATCTGCTCTGTCCTCCTCTGTATGAGTCAGGAAGCAGTCAAGTACTTTCCTGTCTGCTGTCCTCTGTATGAGTCAGGAAGCAGTCAAGTACTTTCCTGTCTGCTCTGTCATCCTCTGTATGAGTCAGGAAGCAGTCAAGTACTTTACTGTCTGCTCTGTCCTCCTCTGTATGAGTCAGGAAGCAGTCAAGTACTTTCCTGTCTGCTCTGTCCTCCTCTGTATGAATCAGGAAGCAGTCAAGTACTTTCCTGTCTGCTCTGTCTTCCTCTGTATGAGTCAGGAAGCAGTCAAGTACTTTCCTGTCTGCTCTGTCCTCCTCTGTATGAGTCAGGAAGCAGTCAAGTACTTTCCTGTCTGCTCTATCCTCCTCTGTATCTCTGTATGAGTCAGGAAGCAGTCAAGTACTTTCCTGTCTGCTCTATCCTCCTCTGTATGAGTCAGGAAGCAGTCAAGTACTTTCCTGTCTGCTCTATCCTCCTCTGTATCTCTGTATGAGTCAGGAAGCAGTCAAGTACTTTCCTGTCTGCTCTATCCTCCTCTGTATGAGTCAGGAAGCAGTCAAGTACTTTCCTGTCTGCTCTGTCCTCCTCTGTATGAGTCAGGAAGCAGTCAAGTACTTTCCTGTCTGCTGTCCTCTGTATGAGTCAGGAAGCAGTCAAGTACTTTACTGTCTGCTCTGTCCTCCTCTGTATGAGTCAGGAAGCAGTCAAGTACTTTCCTGTCTGCTCTATCCTCCTCTGTATAAGTCAGGAAGCAGTCAAGTACTTTCCTGTCTGCTCTGTCCTCCTCTGTATGAGTCAGGAAGCAGTCAAGTACTTACCTGTCTGCTCTGTCCTCCTCTGTATGAGTCAGGAAGCAGTCAAGTACTTTCCTGTCTGCTCTGTCCTCCTCCGTATGAGTCAGGAAGCAGTCAAGTACTTTCCTGTCTGCTCTATCCTCCTCTGTATCTCTGTATGAGTCAGGAAGCAGTCAAGTACTTTCCTGTCTGCTCTATCCTCCTCTGTATGAGTCAGGAAGCAGTCAAGTACTTTCCTGTCTGCTCTATCCTCCTCTGTATGAGTCAGGAAGCAGTTAAGTACTTTCCTGTCTGCTCTATCCTCCTCTGTATGAGTCAGGAAGCAGTCAAGTACTTCTGGACTTTGGTTTTCTTTCAGAGCCAGAGTTTTGCATGCACATCCAATTTACACAACTAGTTTATTTGTGTGCAGACTGCGGGTTCCTCATCTCTCAGGCAGATGCCCTCCATCTTCCAAAGAAATGTTGACCCTTTTTACGTTGGCCAAGACTCCCACAGTGAACCTAGTTTTAGTCTAGGATGAGCACAGAGAGGTGTAGATAAGGCAGGTCTAGACCAGTATCAGCCTTGTTCCCTGTGCATCATCATCACGTGTGATTCAGCCCTTTGCTGCATCCCTGCCACATTTCACTATAGGAGCGTCTGGATAGATTTAAAATGAACACAATGTTGGTAAAAGTTGGAAAGCTGCCTCAGTGACAACTAAAAGTCATATTTTTGTTCATAGCTGAGAAGAGGAAACACTGGTGTGAAATAGCAACTTCAAGTAATGATCAAGGGCTCTTCACGATGCTACTGAGGCTATGGCTGGCTTCTTTCGGCTTTATAATCATCTCCAAATAAATGCATGATTTCAGTAGTAAAAACATGAATGGTAAGCAACATGCTTAGCACACTTTCTTCTATTTCATGTTGTCTTGCCTTTGAACCTTATTTTGTAACAAGGAGCATGAAGTAAGTATTCAACTTAACTTGCATGTGTCGCACTAGTTGCTGAGCCAGTCTGTCACAGGATATCTTGTTGTTGTCTGCACCTGTCTGTTTTCCCAGATGACAGTGTTATACTGTGCTATGGGGAGGTATGGAAACCACAACCCATGGTGATGGCAAGTGTGACTTCTTCTGTTCGTTCTCCCTGCCAGTGGTTTTCAGATGAGAAGACCGCAGGCTTCTATGAAGTCTGTAGTGCAACACATGTCTTCCACTTTTCCATACAGCTTGGCTCCCACTGGAATGCCAACTGGCCAAAATCTCTCTACTGCATGCATGGAGTACATCTGTAGCACATGTTCAGTATTCTGTGATGCCTATTCTGAACCAAATCTTGAATTTGCTGTACATATGGCTACAGAGTCTGTTGTTTCCAGTACACAATATAATGATCTGTTTCTGTTGTGTCAGGAGATTACCTCAGGGTTGTGCCTTAGATGTGAAGTGTTTCAATGGTTCTACTATGTATGACAACATATCTAGATATTGTGTGTTATGGTCTATATTTACATGGATGAAAGAGTTAGACTTGTTCACAGTACATTCTATCTTACCTGGTGATCAACTGTGCGCTGTGAACCAGATCTGTCACCATGTGAGGTCTTCCAGCCAGGCTGTCGGAACTACCAAGCTGGATACATGAACTCATCAGCTGTAGCACTGTGTTAAAGAAAGTCCTCATGGATGACAATAATGGATACAGTCTACGTATCCAATACTGGATTCATGTAACAACTGTTTCACACACTGTAATGTGCCATTTAACAACTACTTCTATCATTTATCACCCAATGGATCATTGGCCCTCAACCAACTCACGATAGGTCATTCCATCCTTTGCTATCACAGGCAGCTCACCACGTCCTCTTTATCTTTTTATCTTCATTTTCTAGCTCCCTTTTCCATGTTTTTTTCCTCCTGCCTTTTATTTGTATGCCCCTGTGGGTTTCAGTGCAAAGACAATTCTAGTTATATTCTTCTCAGGTTTTCTGAATGTATGTCTTATCCTATAAATTCACATACAACTATCACTGATACCCCCCCCCCCCACATGTTGTGTATTGTACAGACTTACGTGCTCACTTGTGTGAGTGGAAGTCAGCCCATCATTTCCTTATAACAAGTACATATAATTCGTATGGCACCAGATTTGTCTGTAGATCTAGGCAGGTCCAAACCCTGGACTCCTATACAGATAAACATGTTAAAGATGAGAAGTGCCATATATTATGTACGCTCAACTCACCCACAAGGTACAGAGACTAAGACAATGAACACACAATCAGGCAACTGTACTGAGTCTCTAGAGATGTGGAAATACAGAGGAACTGGTCTTATTTCGTGGAGACCAAAACTATTAGATACAGAGATTCTGAAAGGATTAGGAATGAGTTGAGTTGAGTCAAGAATTAACATCACAGCACTCATGGCATTCCCATATGTTCTCCGTCCCCATCCTCAGCAGCCAGCGCAGTTCCAATACTAATGTAGCCGGTCGTAGTCTGGTTGTATGTCCGTCTTGCCTTTCCTCTTAGCGTAGTGTGCCGGTCACACCCAGGTGCATCATTCTCTCCAGCCCTAAAAATCTAGTTTCTCTTCTGACTTTGTTACTTATTAAGGATTAGGAATTAAAAGAGAGATACTGAAAGCAAGACATAAAAAAGCAACTGAAATATTTCAGCCCTATTAAAAGACATAAAACTTTTTTTAAACCATACTGGAGGGATCGGTCGAAGGCAAGACAGCGTCAAGAGATGAACTAATAACAGTCTTTAAGATTGTACTGCCAAGACAAGAGACAAAAGAGAGTCAGAGATCTATTGAAGCCAACCATGGAGAAGCTTCTTGATTAACCGACTCCCAAACAAGACTTCTCATTCTGGCAATTTCTAGTCAGAAATACTCTCAATGTATTCTTCTACATTGGCTCTTGACAAGGCAGCTGGTCCACGGTGTTGGTAGCTTTCACTAAGGCTACAATGTCTGCATCTTTCAGGCTGACACATGTAATTTTGGTAACCTTAGTTACCTTTGATGACCAGCTGGTTGGAGAAGCAGGGCCTTTTCATTTGTTCCCCCCAATGGGAGCTCCAGAGTCCAGGCAGTGAATACTATCAGTGAAACAGCTATGTGAGCTGTTGTCTTCTTTCATACACACCTCAAACACATTTGAAAAAGCAATCAGAAAATTGGGTGCTTTCCCAATATCTCCCCCCCCCCCCCCTCCAGGATGACATCACGGGACAGTCCAATATTTGTTAGGGTGGTAAGAGGGGCTTTCTGATGCTTTTAACTACCCCAAAACATCTAGAACTGGGCCTAACCCTAACCCATGTACGTCCCATGAGAGACTGCAGCCTAGGTCCCATGACTGCATGCAGCCTAGGTCCCACGACTGCATGCAGCCTAGGTCCCACGACTGCATGCAGCCTAGGTCCCACGACCGCATGCAGCCTAGGTCCCACGACTGTATGCAGCCTATCTACCACCCCCTGAAATATTCCACTTGTCTGTTTGGGGGAAGATATTGGGATAGAATCTAAAACTTAACAGGGCCTCTGGAAATAAGGATCTACAGAGGAATTAGTGATATTTCACGGAAACACATACATAGGTTCTCAAGATATTCTAAATGAAAAAAAAAAAAAAAAGTTGCTGAAAAAAAAATTAAGAGACAACTGAAATATTTCAGCCATAACATTTAAAAAAGGATATTGTTGGCAATATGGATAATTGTAGGGACTGCCCTCAATACTGTGTTGGTGTGATGGACCAACAATGTGTTGGTCAGTCTGTACAGAGCATTCAGATCCGATGGACTGGTTAAGGTGAAGACCACTCCAGCATTGAAGCAAAGCAGCGTCATCCGTGGTGTTATTAATGTCTGCGCCAAAACAAAAACCAGAATTAATTACATTAATAACTACTTTATCATAATATAAATACCTGTCATTTAACATACAGTACACATAAAGATGATAGGCAGCCTGTCGTGCTGTAGTGGCTAGACTTGCTTGCCGATCCAAAGGTCCTGGGTTCAAATCCAAATGGAGCCAGACTTTTTTTTTCAAAAATGATCTTAGCTCTCAAGTTAACCCAGCTTTGCATGGGTACCAGCTAAAAGTCCTGGGAAGTAAAGGTGGCCGGAATATATCCCTCTGAGTGCCAAATCTACAAACATCCTAGCCTAGTCTAGTCAGTGAACATCCTAGCCTAGTCTAGTCAGTGAACATCCTAGCCTAGTCTAGTCAGTGAACATCCTAGCCTAGTCTAGTCAGTCAACATCCTAGCCTAGTCTAGTCAGTCAACATCCTAGCCTAGTCTAGTCGGTCAACATCCTAGCCTAGTCTAGTCGGTCAACATCCTAGCCTAGTCTAGTCGGTCAACATCCTAGCCTAGTCTAGTCGGTCAACATCCTAGCCTAGTCTAGTCGGTCAACATCCTAGCCTAGTCTAGTCGGTCAACATCCTAGCCTAGTCTAGTCGGTCAACATCCTAGCCTAGTCTAGTCGGTCAACATCCTAGCCTAGTCTAGTCGGTCAACATCCTAGCCTAGTCTAGTCGGTCAACATCCTAGCCTAGTCTAGTCGGTCAACATCCTAGCCTAGTCTAGTCGGTCAACATCCTAGCCTAGTCTAGTCGGTCAACATCCTAGCCTAGTCTAGTCGGTCAACATCCTAGCCTAGTCTAGTCGGTCAACATCCTAGCCTAGTCTAGTCGGTCAACATCCTAGCCTAGTCTAGTCGGTCAACATCCTAGCCTAGTCTAGTCGGTCAACATCCTAGCCTAGTCTAGTCGGTCAACATCCTAGCCTAGTCTAGTCGGTCAACATCCTAGCCTAGTCTAGTCGGTCAACATCCTAGCCTAGTCTAGTCGGTCAACATCCTAGCCTAGTCTAGTCGGTCAACATCCTAGCCTAGTCTAGTCGGTCAACATCCTAGCCTAGTCTAGTCGGTCAACATCCTAGCCTAGTCTAGTCGGTCAACATCCTAGCCTAGTCTAGTCGGTCAACATCCTAGCCTAGTCTAGTCGGTCAACATCCTAGCCTAGTCTAGTCGGTCAACATCCTAGCCTAGTCTAGTCGGTCAACATCCTAGCCTAGTCTAGTCGGTCAACATCCTAGCCTAGTCTAGTCGGTCAACATCCTAGCCTAGTCTAGTCGGTCAACATCCTAGCCTAGTCCAGTCAGTCAACATCCTAGCCTAGTCCAGTCAGTCAACATCCTAGCCTAGTCCAGTCAGTCAACATCCTAGCCTAGTCCAGTCAGTCAACATCCTAGCCTAGTCCAGTCAGTCAACATCCTAGCCTAGTCCAGTCAGTCAACATCCTAGCCTAGTCCAGTCAGTCAACATCCTAGCCTAGTCCAGTCAGTCAACATCCTAGCCTAGTCCAGTCAGTCAACATCCTAGCCTAGTCCAGTGAACATCCTAGCCTAGTCTAGTGAACATCCTAGCCTAGTCTAGTGAACATCCTAGCCTAGTCTAGTGAACATCCTAGCCTAGTCTAGTGAACATCATAGCCTAGTCTAGTGAACATCATAGCCTAGTCTAGTGAACATCATAGCCTAGTCTAGTGAACATCATAGCCTAGTCTAGTGAACATCATAGCCTAGTCTAGTGAACATCATAGCCTAGTCTAGTGAACATCATAGCCTAGTCTAGTGAACATCATAGCAAAGTACCTGCTGAGATTACTTGCAACTTGTATGTCACCCAAAAGGTCAGCGACATCAAACAAGGACACAGACTTACCTTTCCTAAATCAACAAAAACCAATAAGGCATCCAGGATTGATTTTAATGCACTCAGACTTACCTTTCCTAAATCAACAAAATCCGATAAGGCATCCAGGATTGATTTTAATGCACTCAGACTTACCTTTCCTAAATCAACAAAATCCTATAAGGCATCCAGGATTGATTTTAATGCACTCAGACTTACCTTTCCTAAATCAACAAAATCCGATAAGGCATCCAGGATGGATTTTAATGCACTGTGCATCGGTGTCCCAAGATCTGATGATGTGCACACAGACTTTTCATGGAACTGGAGCAGGCCCAATATCACAGACAGAAACTGAAAGATACAGACAGAAACAATTTTACTCACTCACACAAAATTCTTCAGAAATCCAGTTTTTTTTTAGTTAGTGAAACTCAATACTTAAGTATAAAATGTGGATTCGTTTGGGAGTTGTTTCATGATATCTAAGAATTTTTATGTAAATTGCAGTTCTTATCATTTTTCTGCAGTGTTCTCACTTTAAAGGAAGTTGGCACATTACATTTTGGTTTAGAGCTAGCTAGGTTGCAATATTTCTGCATTTCCACTCATCTTATTTCACTAAACCCTTAAGCAGTCGCCTTTTATACATGCTTGTCTCATTCTCATGGAGCCCTTGAACACACATAGGGAACTTTCCAGTTCAGAAATTGTAGATTTTCTTCTTTATTGTTTAATTCTTATCTATATAAACTTCAGTTAGAAAATGTGTATTGTCTTCTTCAAAACAGAGAGAACCACCCACCTGGTACATTCTGGCAAACATCTCTTGGACATGTTTCTCTGGCAAACTCTGCGACTGAATTAATCGCCTCCACACAGCCATGATTATGTGAATTGTTGCAGCTTCCACTTCACTGGGTGCAGCC